AAAGGAAACACAAACCCAGACACTCCATGTATGGTATATGTGCCCATCAGTTGGGGTGGCGCCAGAGGGGTCAATGGGGCGAGTCCTATGGCAGTCCCAGACGGGTCGTGTCTGGGTTCGAGGGACTTTCTCCCATCGATTGTGTGGAGCAAATACATCGATGTGTGCATCACCCAGTTGCGGATGGCTGTTTTACCATTAGAAGAAGCCGATGGTATGGCGGACATGGTGGTGCAGTGGTGCATGTCAGTGTGATGCTAATTTGGTGATGCTTTGAATAATTTACTGATTTTACTGTAGTCAATTGAGTTCTTTGGATTCGAGTATTTTGGCCATTGAGGGTTGTCTTTGAGAGTATCTCTCAAGCACAACCCTCAATGTTTACTTTCTTAATGATCATGCCTCTCTCGGACATGATCATTTAAGGGTGTTTGGCAGGCTTGGAATAGAGAAGAATCTTTTTGGTGAGCAGTTGTGCACAGCCAAGAGATATATAATATAGAGAGAGATCGAGTTATATACATAATTGGACATATAGTTTTGGATGGTTTGAGGCTGAATTCACTTCCATGATTGTTGGAGGAGGCCAGATTGGCTCAGATCGAGAACTTGAGATGTGCAACCAGCTATAGTCAGTTAGATCGGCGACTAGGCCTACCAAGGGTTTCAGACCCAAGTACCACGGATTGAGCTATGAGCAACATAATCGTATTGGTTTTGCACCAGTAGATCGATCGATGATATACATGACCTACCATACTTGACCATCCTTTATACTTGTGTTGACATCCTTTTATATCGGTGGTGCAGTGCGTGGTGCAGATGATTCTCGTCGAACTGTTTGTTTCTCCAGATTCTGCTGAAGACAACGCCCTGAGACGACTCGGTCCAGCACGCGGTTGTCTTCGAAGACTCAGAGGGAGATGATTGACTAAACCACAAACAACATAAACATAAACAACAACTCCAGAAACCATCCATTCGGGGTGTCCGAGTCCAGGCCAGTCTGTCGTCGCCAGTCGGGTGATGTCCGGTCTGGGAAAGTCCGGAAGTTGGTGGATGTCCCGGCGATGTGGTCGGATCCAGCCGTGTCAGCCGTGCTTGGGGATTGATGTCCAGGAAGACTCTTCGGAAGACTCGTAAACAGTTTGGCATGCTAGGAATATTCAAGTCATGACCCAAGTACGCATGGAAATGGGTTGAAGCACCAGTCTTGATCGGGGCATGTTCCGATATTTATACTACTACTCAGAGGGCCGAGGATGATGTTCTTCCACTGTCGTCGGAGTGTTTGGCCACTTTCCAATGTAGACTCTTGACTAATATACAACACCGTATGAAGATGTCTTACAATCCAAATGCGGGGGGGTTACTAGGACACTTCAAAAAACTACTAGTAACAAGGGCATCGCTACTAGGAACAAGGGCATTGCTACTAGTAGTAAATAGCTACTAGTAGCAAATAGCTATAGTAGTAATGCCCTTGTTACTAGTCTAGATGATGTCAGGGGCGAGTCCGGGCAGCTTCCTCTCCACCAGGCCGTGGCAGCTCCACCTGAAGCTTCGGATCAGGAGGTGCCCCAAAGACACGCAGATTCCGAAAGGTATGCTTGGTGTTGCGTATGGGTGATTTTCTTAAAGGTTTCTGGGTGACCTGTTGTCCCCAGAATCCCTGCATCAGGGAGAAACTTATGATTTCCTGGTGTTTAAAGCTTACATATACAGCGACATGTTTTTTCCCGAACTGGGTGAATCCCTTGCTGCGGAAGATGTTGCCCGGTTGAGTGCGCGAATCCGTTTGTCTATGCCGTGCCCGGTGGCCGGTGCTTTGGAGCGAGGTGCTGTCGCGCTGTCGGGGCTCGCTCGGGTTGTTTGAGAAGAAGACTGAGACCAAGGTTGACCACTTGCGTTCGTATGGGGAAGTGTCAAAGACCTGGACCTTCCAGGTGATGTACCAATTCAGACCCTCCAGATGATGTGGGATCCAACAAATCTCCAATTTGAGAGATTGGTAGATTGCATGCATGAACCTGCAGGGCAGTGAATCTTTTGAAGAGTTAAGAACAAGCATACCTGGATCCTCCTTTGGGCGGAAAAAAGTGCCGGACCTCAATCCGGCAAAATTTTCCGCCGGATTCCGAAAAAAAACGCCGGAGACCTGAAAAAACATCCGGATCCAAGATTCTGAAAAACAGAGATGATAAAAGGTTGGATCATACACAAGGAAATTGCCTTTGCGCCGCGAGTAGTTCTTCTGGAGCACACTCGAACCTTCCCGTTCCCATTGCCCTCGCCCATCTTCCGAATGGCCTAAGAGCAGAACCATCACAAAATATAAGCAACTTGTGCCCAAGCAAAGACTTCCAAGAAGAAACCAAGGAGCATGTGGCAATGAACTCATCTTTCTCTGCAACCGTGTCTCTAAAGTGTTTTTTTCAAAGTGGGTTGCTCTCCATGATTCTTATGCTTCTTAAAATGTTTCTTTAAAGCTCGCCTCAGGGCGGCCCCCCAATAAAGTAGCAGAACTCATGGCTCCTGTCAAAACTCTTCTTTGAAAAACTTTTCAAAGTCAAAGCCAAAGCCTGCCCAAAAAAGACCGTCGGAGTTACGGGAAATTACGCCGGAGTTACGGGAAATTACGCCGGAATTACGGGAAATTACGCCGGAGTTACGACGTGCCATTTTTTGACAACTCTCTGCAAAACATTGAGATTCTGAACAACACATGTTCCACAGCCCAAAACTTGTCCGGCAGGCTCTGCAAACCTGCGCAGCTAGAACTATATCCCAGCGCCCCGACATCCTGAAACAATGGGAGTACATTTTTGCCTATGCTCTTTCAGCTTAGGTACGCCCACTTGGGTCTTTCAACAGGTGCATCGCACTGTACCGGCTTCATCCGATTTCATTTAGAAGATCACCTAAACGGATCTGATTGATCCAGTGTGAACCATGCTGAAACCGATGGAATGGGAAAACAGCGGAACAGGCAAACGAGCACACTTTGCAAACAAAATCATTGCATCAGTAGTGGGTTTACCTTCAAAGAAATGCAGACCACAAAGAATGCAAAGCCTTGAGAATCCACATAAAGTGACTTGGAAAAAGCGCCGGACCAAATCCAGAAAAACGCCGGAGTTGGAAGTCCGGCGCCGGATCCTGTAAAAGTGCCGGACTGAAGATCTAGGTATAATCATGATAATTATGCCATACTATATGCAAATATTTGGATCATGTTGAGTCTGTGACTATTGCATCCAAGAGTTGCAATGGGGTGCCATGGTTTGGATGCTGGCTTGGATGCTTTGGAAGGATATTATTGGCTGCCCCTGTCACATCCACTGGAAACGTGGAACTGCTGGATTTCATGAATTCCTTGGCAAAATTTCAACGCAGACGATGCAATCCGAAAAGGAGCTTCGCCCTGCGTGAAATTCAGGGACGAGCAGCTGGCAGCTGCGGTTTAGATCTGTGATCAACCGCTAGGGATTTTGAACTCGAAACGTTGGCTGTAGGCCTTAGCAGCCCCACATCATAGGGGCATGGCCTTCAACAAAAAAAACATGTTTCTTCTCAAAAGTCCCGGTGGATTCGCAGTGTTCCTCGTGGAATGTCAATGTGTTTGTCGCCCAGTTTTTTGGTTCTGTCGCAACTGTGCCCAGTTCCTGGCGGCAGGTCTTGAACTTGCTGAACAGTTGCAACAACGACCAGCTTTATCAGATCTATGGGGTTGGACCTGCCTCTTGGACTGGACTGGGCGGTTTGGACTGCAAATTGGAACAGCGTGGTGTTCTTCATTTCTTCTCGCGAACTCAGAATAGCAGGTTTTTAAATTGGGTGTTTTTTTGCATAGACCAGTGACTTTCATTGCAACCACCCATGTCGGCAGTTCGAAGCCTTATCTATAGAGCCCCACATCGCGGGCCCCGCTCGGTCAGCCAATGATCTTCACACAGTGACCACTGTGACTGGGGGGCATGGATTATGTTGACGCAATCCATGCCCCGACCGATGTTGATCTCACAGATTCCAGCATTTCCGAGCTCGGAAAAACCACCAAAACACTCACCAAACGGTCGGTTCGGTGATTCCCCGACCTGGCTCACCCTGGCAATGACATGCAATGACGTGATTCGGCACCTCTTTTTGCTGCAGAATCCAGACCTTCCGGTCTTGGTGGGGAGAGAAACCAGGGAATTCATTTCGATTGTTAAGAAGACCACAACCATTCATGATCATTCGTTCATATTGAGTAGCTGTTTTGGGACTTGAAAGGGATTTTGATTTGGGACTGTTCAAATACCACAGATTCCAGAAGCGCAGCTGCGCTACGTAGCCTGAAACACAGGGGGAGGCTGGTCCAAGAGTTCCATTGCACGGGACTGGGACGTCACGAATTGGAGGGGGGTGCCTTCCATGCAGCATGGTCGGAGCCCGATGGTTGCAAAGACGTACCCGGCCTCCAATTGGGCTGTGGAAGTGGAGAACCATGTGGCAAATCAAGTTCGTGAACTCCTGGAGGCGCCTTTTCACTTCCATGTTTGCTGCATAGAGGTAACTTGTCTTTGATGGTTTGGGATGCAGCAACAGGTGGGATTCAGACCAGTCCCAAACCGTGCCAAATCCGTGCTTCTTGGTTTGCAGCAACCCACCTTCGGTTTGCCCATAGGCGAACCCAGACTTTACCCAGGCCAACCAACCTGAATATGTTTGAAGAATGGGACGGGAGTGGTTTTGCTTCTTGTCTCTACATCATACACATTCGAACAGGACAATGCATCTCGAAGGATTCAGGCTTAAGAAATTCAGTTCTCGCCACCTGAGCAGAGTCGGCCAGGGCTATACTGTTTTTGGGGGTTTGTGGAAATGACCTGGAAGTATGAACAACGCTTTGCCCGGAAAGTTGGAAATATTGTGTAGCAGCATTTTGCTGACCTGTTCTTGATACACACAATGATGTATAAGCTTATTCAATCAGGATAGCTATGCGTTTGAGTGCCCTAAGGCAAACAGTATCTCTTTGTGGAACTGGTGCTAGTGCCCAAGTTCCACCTCAGAGCCCATCCCATTGCACATCCATGGGCGCCTGCGCGCATGACCCCGCCGTACAGGTATACTGCACTGCAGAACTATTCATACGAGGCTGAAGATGCTGCCACAACATCTAGTTCGGAAGATGACATTGACAGGGAGCACGGTCAGGCATTTGAGGCTCTAGGTGTTCAGCATTTTCACGGCCACCAAGAGTCCAAAGTAGAACTGTCCAATCTGTGCATTTGCCTTTTGCTCAGGCTTTTCTTCCCCTTCTCCCGCTTTGCGGTGATGATATTGCTCAAAATGGACTGGATTCGGCCCATCCTTAGAACTGAGCAAGAATCATTCGGCACACAGACGAACCAAATATTTGTGCTGTATGGCGCGGTGAAAGGCCTGTACTACCTTCCGTATTTGACCTTGAATGTTGTTTTCTACTACATTACATCCAAAGTGTATGGCAACACTGGGCCGCCGTTTGCAACCCTGTTTCCCTGGCTGATTCAGCTTTGCTTTATTGGGGGTTATGTTGCTGAAGCAGCCTCCGCTTCTGACAACCCATCGCGTGCTAAATACGCTCAAGTTGTGCAGTTTATGAGGATTATTGGACGGCAATGCGGTCTCTCGGAAAGCCTCCTCCACCGACTATACTCAGATGGGACAGAGGAAAATTGCTTGCTGGCCTTGGACCGTGTGTGGTCAGATGACTTGAAGGTACGCCGGGAGTGGCTGTGTGGATGCCAAAGCTCAGTAGAATTGGATGACGTGAATTGGAAATCACAGATCATGTCCATGATCATCCGCACTCACCGGACTTGCTTTACACAAGTTGTTTATAGAGATGTTGTTTATAAGACCAAATCAGATCACTTTGAAAAGGTGGGGGACTTCAGTTGGATGCAGCGCTGGCCCGCTACAGATAGATTTGTAATTCAACAGGAGAGAGTTCATAGCTTGTCGTCCATTGGGCTCTATGCTCCTCAGGTGCACGGAATGTGCATTACAAATGGCTTACTTGAAAGCTACAAAAAGAATCTGCTTGAAGGTGCTCTGACAGCGGCAGACTTCACCAGCCAGATGTCCGTGGGCTTCCCCAGACAGACCCCTTTCTGGGTGAGGGTCATGTTGGTTGTGGCTGAGGTCACATTTTGGGTATTGCTGTGGAGTGCATGCATTGTTGCCTGGTGGCTACCTCAGTGGTACCATGACGGAGCCTGGTATGAGGGTCCAATTTCAGTTGTGCTCATCAAGTTGTTGATATTCTTCAACTTCGTGTCATTTGGCATGCTAGATGGTGTTGGCTCGTTCTTGGGCCGGCTTTATGAAAGCGCTGTGGAGTTGCTCATTCGATATACAGAGCTGAAAGTGCTGAATGCCACATTGGCTGGTCCGACCACTGCCATGAAAATGTGCGTTCCTGTGATGAGGCTTCATTGCCACTTAGATTTGCTGGTTTGGGCAGAGGTGCGAGAGCTTTGCTTGGCACGCTATTCTGCCAGGCAGTTGAAAATGGAGGTGGAACTATTGATGGCCACAGTCTTTGCAATTGTGATGGCCATTTGCTGCGTGTACACTGCTTTGCAGAAAGCATGGGATCCGGGCCTATTCAACTTCGTGGGTGTGTTATCCCTGGTGCTGTACATCATTTTTGCGGTACCTTTCTTTGTAATTGGCGCTTTGGTCAACGTGGAGAGCAAAAGGTCCTTGCACCTCATGTCACAACATGCCTTACATGCCCAACTTCTAGTCTCTCACCCCACAGTTGCAAGTGCAGAGCAACGCCGTGAGATCAAAGAAACCCTCTCCGTGGCCAAGCTTCTGGTACGGCATCTCCAATATGACTACTCGGCAGATGTGCACATCCTAGGAGTGACGCTCACTCCGAGCACCGCCTCAGCTTTGGCTTCAACCATCAGCACTGCTTTGGGAGTCACTCTGAGCAGTCTACCTGTGGAGCATATCAGCGAACATATCAAGAAGAAGCTTTTTGCCAGTGAAGCATGGAACACATGGTTTTAGGGGTCTTGTTTCCACAACGTCCGCAGCACCCGCAACACCCGTGAGAGTTCGGGTTTTGCCGTCTCTCTTGCTTGCGAGCTTCAACAGGCTTCGTCAGCTATTGAAGGCTATCGAATGCAGGCATCAATTGTTCGACCTTGAACATGAAAAGCACCGCCATCAGAGTGCTGTCGAGTTTTGACGCAGTTCTCAGATTGTCAGCTCATGTCATGCGACATGTTGACTTCAAGCTTGAATTAGGCCACTGGTTTGCGCGTTCCGCGTTGGTCTGACGCACTATGCCGTGTTGAGGTGATGGTGAATCGAATCTTGATCCAACGGAGACAAGGCCACGATGCCGTGGGTTTGGGGCATCGTGGGGTTGATGGGGTGACACATGTTTGTGTGTGTGTCGTGCCACAAGTCGAGAAGAATCAAGTGTTTGGTCATGGCAATGGAAGAGAACTAATGCGAAGACCGGATTAATAAACCGCCCCCCCCGGAGGTTTATTAATCCTATGTTTGCATTACACTACTGCATAATTTGCGGAAAAGATCGGACAATTTTTAACCCTATGGTGATCTATGGTGTGAAACAGTGTGAAGTGTTCATGTGCGTCCCCTACTCCCTTGTCCTTGGGGTTTCTTGGCAGGCACCTCAGAAGTGGTTTGAATCACGAAGACTATCTTCGGCAAACCCACCACTTGGAACCAAGAGTTCTGAGGCTTGTTTCTTTCTTAAGATGTGTCTCAGTGTTGGCTTCACACCTCAACACTGAACAGCTAGATTGAGGAAGACGATCTCTTCAAATGAATCATCCTGTCCTGCCGCTGCAGAACTCCTCCCCCTGCATCCTGTCCCTGCCTTTCTTTTCTGTCGGGATCTTTGGTCAGGCGGCTTCAGTAGCATCCAACAAGTGCGTCAAGTGCTTGGCGGCGCCAATGGCGGCCGAATTGCACCACGGCCAACACGGGGAGTTCTTCCACTTCCCGTGGGTGGGATGACGAGTCGGATGACCAGTAGTAGTGTAACATACTATAACTAATGGCATCTAATGGCGCAAATATATATATATATGTGGGTTCCGAAAGGCATAGAGAGAACATGACAAAACGATGCCCAATTCTCCAACACGTGTGTTCACTCTTCGTTCTTCTCAGGGTTCAATGACTGTATAGCTTTGAGTGTATATTGAAGTTTTGGGAGCTCTCAGAAACTGTTAGATTGGGGTGTCCTTGAAAATCCCTGTTTTGGCTTGCTATGTTTTTGACATGTGTGTGTTGAACATTTGCCTCCACTGCCTAGGTGAACGACGCGAAAGCACTGCTCCGGAGAGGAGCATTTTGACTTCGTTTGGGCGCAGGAGCCGTTGCCAGCACCGGCGAAGCGGCGCAGGCGAAGCCGGCGCAGGCATGACACGCCCATGAATTCGGGAGCCAACTTGGAAGTCAGATTGGTCTTGGCAAGCAGGTACTTGGTGGTACTTCTATGCTTGACAAATGGAATATGATGGCAAAACAATGTACTTATTCTATCTTATTCTTCAGGTGAAGATGAGATGAGAAATAGACTATAATAGACTATATTACAATGTTTGGAATCAGCTTCGTTGCTACGAGCCACCGACTCTCTTTTGGCTCTGCAAACAATTGAGATGCAAGTTTTGAGGCTCAGTGCAACAATTCAATGGGCCTTTGTACAATATGTGCAGTCAAAAAGAAGCGAGACTTCGCGGTTCCTTCAAAGTCACGGTTTGGCATGGGTTTGGAGGAAGATTACATTAAAACAGCATTAATTGGTATTAATTGTATTATAAATATACCCACATATACCATATATACCATATATTATACCATATAACAGCAATATACATATACCATACATACCCACACATGAGTGTACCACTTTTTGCTCGGCCCGACCCTCCTTCCACACAGCTGGTTTAGTTTGACGCTTCGGACGGACGCTTCAAACGGTGGTTTCTTCGTCACGAAGGAGAAAGGCAGGGCAGTGCACCATGCAGACAATGAAGCAAAAGGAAGAGAACACATATAAGGTCTCCCCTGATTGATAAGGTATTTGGAATTGGGTTTGACTTACTATTACTTACTTGTAGTTTCAACCCTTTGGCATAACTTAGAGGTTCATGGAAGATTCGATAGTTGAGATGGAACATGGGCAGAGCTGACGTTGCAGGATTGCACCATTTTCCATCTCTTCATAGTTTGTCTCCAATGTATCACTGCTCAAGTCGGACACAGTCCATGGCTGATAGTTCAGCATGATGCGAACATGTCGCAGGAGCAAATGACAAACATGTACCGCGAATGTATGCGTGCTTGACAGCAAGCACACAAGCAAGACATGTGCTGTTCACAACTCCAACAGAAGCCAGTGAAACCCCAACTCTTTAAGCTGTGATTCAGCTGATTCACCGTGGGGCGGTGAATCAGCCATGGCGTCGACCGAGGCGCGGCAGAGCAGATCCGGGCCGATCCGGGTGTCGAGAATCGTCCCGATCCCCGTCCGCCGATCAGAAACATCTTTTGGCCGATTCATTCGTTGCATGTGGGAAACGAAGACTTGGGACTTGATTAATAGGGTGTACTCTTGATTGGTTTACCCACCCATTGGAATTGGAAATCCTCTTCATATGGCGGGGTGAAATATAATCAAGAGTCTACATTATTGATGCTGTAAAGGGCTAGTGGGAAGTTCAAGGAACTGGCCATTGGCTTAGCATTCCCAGACGCTCCATGTATGGAATATATGCCTACATTGGTGCGCAGGACTGCTCTGCGGATGAACGGAAAAGATCAAGACGACCAGAACGTGTCAATTTGTCCGGGCGTTTCAGCAGAGAGCACCAGAAGTTGCACCGGGCTGATAGATCAAAAGATGTTGAATAGGAGGGAGTACATCCTCAGACAAGATTCAAGACACCAAGCGCTTTAGCATTTCAGTTGATGTGTACCCCCAGTGAGCATATACAAAGATAACACATGGATAAAACCATTTTCTTTGGGATATATGTTGTATTGTATGTCCACTAGGGTGAAGGGATTTGAAGGGTGTCTTATTTTGGACCCATCATGACCCATCCTCATTTCAGAACGTTGTATTTTCTTTGCTCATGCAGGATGATGTTGATGAGGAAGTGGACAACATGAAGGAGGCACCCTTCTTTGGCGCTCACCCAGGGCTGTTCGCACGTTGTCTTGTTTTCGATGGTTCTGGTATTGTCTTGCTGCATTGCGGTGCGTGTTTGTGTGTGTGTGCCCCTTGTAGTCACAGGGATTCCGTTGAATTGTTTCCGCTTTCTTCAGCAGGGGGACCAGGCATCTTGCTGCTGACCTGGTCTAAAAAAGCTAGGCAGCAAGATGGGATACTGGAGTTGGTCACTCCAGCGTACCTGCGATTCTTTTCGATTGGCATGAGGCTAAGCCCAGAACCTCAAAGGCATGGTACTTAATGTAGCTGCAGTCACGCACGGAACGCCGTCACTCTGTCGGATCGGTTTCGCCTTACGAGTTTGGCCCCTTCTCCGCTTGAGGACCCCGAGGCTCCAGTGGTTTCCTACTTGTACCCTTAGGAAATGGGCCGGCGTGTGGCACCGCTGTCAAGTCAGTACGCATATCCATAAGTGTGTGCTTGTGTTGCTGCTGCGCTTTTGGATAACATTGCCGTGGTCATTGTGTGACTGGATGTTAAAGTTGTAGGATGTTATAGGTGTTTATACTGTGTTTGTTGTGTTTTGGCCTGTTCCCCTTTTGCCTCTCCGCTTTTTCCCCAACTACAGCACTTCATCCGCGGGGCGTCCACGCCTGGAACGGGCACGAGCAGGAGCAGATGTGATACCAGCAGCTGAGCAGTCGTCAGGGGCACCCTTTGACAACCAAGGAACAATCAGGGAGTTTCCAAACCAGCTTGGTCTCCCTTCTACAGGAGCTGAGCTCCAAGAGACCAACACATACCCATGTTTGGTGGGCTCCACTGAGGTTGACAATATATTATGACCATTCAAAGTATCCATCCAAAAGCCATCGCCAATAGAAGGCCCCAATCACTTCTTTCCACTGACCTCTGGCAGGTTTGGAAGGTAAGTGCTAAGTATGCAATGAATGCATGACATCCGCCATCCGTCCGCCCAGCCCACCGCGCTGATGACATGGATCCGACACAGGACATTGATCGACTGATCCGACGCCATCGGAACGAGAAGCAGGGGCGCCCCAGCTGTTCGGTTCGCTTTCCGGCTTTCCGGGGCTGCAGCTTCGTAAAACTTGGATGTCACAGACAGATGAAGGATGCTCATAGTCATAGCCAGACACGACAAAGGGACTGGAATATATGCCGCCCCATTGACCCTTGAAACAACATGAAACAACCTAATGTTGGCAAATATGAGATACACAGACACAATGAGTGTTTGGGACATGTATAGAACCAGCTGCTGTGATTTTATTGAACAGTTTCAGAGACTAGGACATACGGCAGGACCTGTTCGACTATGACATTACTAGGAGAGTAGAATTAATAATTGGAAATCCACCTGTGGGACTGATTTGACCGTTCACTTCAGTGTATGATGATCAACCTTTGAATACGTTTTGCCAGCCAGTGCTGAGAAGTCAGGTACGCGCCAGAGCTCCTTCCGTTTGACCAGGATATGGTGGAAGGCATGTCAGAGGCCGAACTGCGTGTGGAAGATGGGGTGGCCTAAAAACGTGTCAATGATTGCCACCGCCGGGGGGGACATTCCCCAAAAAGTGAAACATCACAGCAACAACCTTTTTCAGCATTGGGCACCGGTAGCACGGAAACCAACGAATTTTCGGCTTGGATCCCCTTGGTTTCAGGCAGAATCAGGGTCCGAGTCAATGGCTCTAACCTTTTTGGCCGTTGATCCATGGTTGACCCCTTTTGTGGCACTTCCTGGGTTGGGAAAGTTGGGACTGGGCGTTAAGACAAGAATATGCTCGTCATGTTGTTTGCATTGGATGAATTCGATGTGTCATTTCTTCCATCGGTGCATGGTGCCCCAACACATCGCATCGACTAGATCTTGCACTTTGTGGAGAAGAGCTTGATGGAAGACCGCGCGAGCGGCGAGCAGGTGGTGCACGGGTGGTTCTACGGCACATGGGGTCGCCTCCACAGCGAGATCTACTTGTTTCGGTTCGGGTAATGCCATTGTTCTAGTTGTATTCTACTCAAAGGCTGTATGGGGTACTTCAGATGCTGTACTCGTATCAGGAACAGCACCCATGATTCCATGTTTAGAAAACTGATGTGTTTCATGATGATATTGAAGCTGATCAGACATGGATCCCAGCCAATGCCCACAGACCACCAGCCAATTGCCCGTTGTCCCTTTGGCCCTTGCTTTGTTGGAGGAAGCATGGCACTTGGACCACCAAGAGGATGTGTGTAATCAATCTTGCAGATTGCAGTGTTCCTTTCCACCGAAATCCCGTCTGGGGGGCCTTCCTGCCAAGTTCACCCATGGATCGCATAGCATAAACATGCATAAACCATATCATACCTATAATTATGAATTGAATAAGATATAAATAACAATAGATGATTAAGATATGATTAGATGATATTAGATGATTATATATGTCTATTTCTTCTAACAACACCTTTTGAATTCGTCTTGAGCTGCCTTCGATCCATTTGACGCGACGCCTCAGGGCCCGACACACCCGAGTTTCCTCCTGCGGAGCACGGAGACCGATCGCCTCACGTGCCCAATCGACCTCCGTGCCGAGCGCGGCGAACGCACCGGTGCAAAGCCCCCGAGCATTTGGTGGCTTCGAAGGAAGAATTGGGTTAGACATGTTGATCCCAAGCCGCTTTTGGCACTTGGAACTCAATGACCGTCAATCATGACCAATATGATCCAGGCGTCAAACTGCGAGATGAAGTCACACGATTCCCGTGGCAAAGGTCGAACGGGGTCGAACGGGTCGCGCCACGCGAGCGCGAGTTCCGTGAGTTCACATGGACTGATGATGGAAAGTGCTGGAAGGTCACCAAACAATAAGCTTCCGGACCGAATCTGGGAATGAGTCGGTGGATTTGGGTATAGCTCACACAAACGATTGGGATGTCCCCTACTGCAAGAAGTGGGATGTCCCCTAAGTGGCTGCTATTTGGATAGAATTTGTCAAGGTTTCGCTGCAGCATGAGATTTATTGCGCTTCCCTTTGCCCGCATCTCACAGCCTTCGATCGTTTAAACTGGCAAGGGGCAGCACAGGAGCAATGTGACATGCAATGAACACAGAAGCTGAGTGGCAGAGAAGTAATTATCAGATTTGAACATGTTCTGGCAGTTCAAGTCTTGTGAAATTATATATACTGTATATATATATTATACATATTATTATATGTACTGTTTCACCTCAAGGAACGCAGTTACTAGTTACACACTATCCGTTCGTGCAGCTTTAAAAAGAGGCTCCAGCCGTCTCAGAAACAACACGATGTCGTACAAGTACAATAACTCTCCAGCTCAAACGAATGGTGTTGAAGGAGACGTGTGAAACGAACGGCCATTGTGTGTGGCTGCCCACCGTCGCCGCATCATGGACAGCACTCGTTTGGACGGCCCTCCTCCCAGTCCCACGGACGTGCCCAGCCCTGCACCCTCGAGTGTCTCGAGTGTCTCGGACGTACCATGCGGCCATGGGGGTGGGGGGTGGTCCATGCGGCCCCACGGCGTTCGCAGGTGACGGGTCGCAGCATGGAATGACGAGCAGCTTTGGGGCATGAAAAGCCCCCGACAGGACATAGCATTGATACACCCTTCTTTGTACATTGGGCTCCCTGGAGTCTCAAAGTTCCTTGGAAAATGGCTAGAAAGTGCTGCTTTTTTAAGGGGTCACGTCCCATGTTCTAAGGTACGTTGGAGGGTCCAGGTCCATTGGTCTCTACCTGAGAAGATTTCTTTCGGGCATCGTTCCCGATGGCAAAACCACTGGCTGAAGCTCAAGGTTGCCAGACCAAGAGCTTTGTGCGTTGGAGCCTGGCATTGGGCTAGCTGACTGGCTGCGGCTTGCTGGACTAGCTAAGCCACGCTTGTGGTGGGTGGACTCCCCGCTAAGATGGAACCAGTACCATGTATATATATATATACTCCAGTCGCGGTCCCCACTGGTTTCCCAATCAGTCAGTTGCAAACTCAAAGATCTCAAAGCATTGTTGTAAGCTGTGGCAAAGTTCGGATCCGGGTTGAGAAGGCCGAAGGCCTCACCGTCTCAGACGCGGAAGATCACGGAAGACCTGAGGCCAAGCGGAGCAGGACAGCGAATATCAGCTCCTCTCGCCCTACCTGGTGGGTTCCCTCGAGGAGAGCGGAAAATGAGTCCCAACTGGTCGGATTAGGCCGCTGAAAGGTATGTCAAGAATCTTCATGATATAATAGTAATTTCATGATTTTCCAGACACTTCATATGGGACTGACACATTTGCTACAGTGCGGTGGCTGAGAAGGAATTGATTTATAAGTATTCCACACATTGAATTTCAATGGGAGACCCCCAATTGGGTTTTAGCTCTCTAGTTCGCTCATCCGTTCGACGCTCCATGGTTTCAACCACCCCAATCATCCCCAAGGTCGGCCCAAGGTCATGTCGTCCCATGTTTGGGAATATACCATCGAACATCACACTTAGATTGAGGCTCGCAAGAGCTGTATCAGTTGTGATCTTCCACACTAGGGATTACGATGCCAGTTTAGAGCGCTGAAAACCTGAACCCGTCAACGGCCATGTGCAGAACAGAAAGGTGATGAGGTCAGACTAAACAGTATTGTTTACATCAGTCGGAAGGAATAGGTTAAATGCAGGTACACAGTCAGACGTCTCTTACCGCATCCCATGACACCACTAGCTTCGTTGGCCAGCGTTGTGATGTCATGCGCTGGTCCCCTGCTCTGTACATTGGGATGCGATAGCTGAAGATTAAGTAAGTATAGGTGACCGGAATCTTTGGTGTGATCAAAACCCTTAGAAACAGGAAGTGAAAAGCTGGATCGGCGCACTCTCTTCTTTGCTCTGCGGGAGGAGGAGGAAAGGGGTGTGGGTGTGCGTTGACTAAACGAGCCTAAAAGCGCACCTAAGAAGCCTGAAGGAAAGAACAACCAAACGAAAAAGGCAAGGAAAGAAAAGATAAGAAAAGAACACGTGCAGGGGGGGGGGGGGGGGGGGGGGGTTGTGCGTGCGTTGACTAAACGAGCCTAAACGCCGACCTAACAACTTTATGTTAAGTTCCTTAAGTATAACTATAGTTATACATACTTATCCTAATACAAGTTCTGTTATCGAAATACAAGTTTACTTGTAGTTCCCTAACTAAATTTATAACTTACTTATAACTAAAGGATCATATAGTAGAAACAGGAAGTGACACACACACAAGAATCAGATCCTGGTATCGTTTCCTTTTCGATTTTCGATCTCCATCTCCAGCCGACATGAACGGCGGATCCAGCCACCACGGCCCTCCAATACCTCAGAACACCTCGGGAGGACCCTCCACCAGTCTCCTGGTCCTCATCCTCCCATTGTCGACCGGGTCCTCGGTCGCCGTGACCCGACCGGTAGGAAGTGGTGCTCCCCGGCTCGGTGCGATCGTTGACCAAGGCGAGGGCTGCGGGCGAAGGGCTCGGAGTCGTGGGCGAGACACGTCGCGGGTTGGCGTGTCGTCCCGTTGACGCCGGGGTGTTTCACACAGAGTGGTGGCTGAGTAAAGGGCAGACGGTGTACCAAAAACGGGTTCATGATGGAATAGAATATGATCGATAGAATATGTTAACATTAATGATAACAAAGAGTGACATGCGCGTGCACAGAGTGGATGATCATGATCAACAACCAGACACTGCAGTAATGCATGCATCCTTCAAACATATATTATATTTCTTCTAGTGGTGTACACGTCTACAGGAATGCTGACCCCAGATTAGTAGGACCGCTAAACCCTAAACCCCGCCCATAAGTCCAAAGATCCTGGATCCAGGCAAACTTAGTTTGCTTTATTCTGCAAGTTGCCGTCGGGTATTGGTAACCGTTCAGTAAAATGCCGCTTTGATGTCGACTGTTTGTCACCAAGTTGAACCAACAAAGTCCCGTTGGACTCCTTGGCACATCTCCAGGGCTGCATGGGCGCCATCTTCTCCTGTCGATTGCACAATGGCGAGCAGGCGCACGTGCAGCCGGTGAAGACCCGAAGGCATGCTAGGCGGCCATGTGAGGTCGCAGTCACATACAAGGCCTTTCTGCTTTCTAATGGGTCAAGATCTGGGCGGTGTTTTCGCCTCAATAAAGGTCATCTCTGGAGTTGAGAGATTCTAGAACACCACTCCGTATACTCCGTATACTCCAAGGTTGAGTCCCCACCCGGACGGCAGGGTCACCGGCAGGCCGTGTTGAAGAGAAGCTGCACCAAGTTGATCGTCAGCTGGGTCAACGTCCGGACGCCCGGACGGTGAAGAGGGTCGGCGACGAGGGTCAGGTCGGTCCGGATGGGCGGGGGAGCATGGGACCTGGATTGAGCATCATGGACTATCAGACTATATCATCGTATGGTTTGCAAGAGACGAGACATTTGGATGCTGTGTGTTTTCTATGTTTTTCCATTCACACTGAGACAGTCTTGGGATTTTTTCTGCACTGTGTCGTTCTATAATTTGAGGAGTTGGCTTTCATTGACAAGCGCGTCCACTAGTTTGAGATGTTTGATTGCTGCTACATGTCTCTTTCGCTACTGGGTCGTCTTGGTAGCTTCTTCTACACATATGCCAAACCCTTCTCCCAAGCCAAGGATCTTGTAGAGTCTTGATGAATCGGACCGGGGCAGACCATCGGAGTTCGCCGCTTCACCAGGAGACCCACGGCAGCATCAACCAGCGCTGGCTGGTCCGTGAAGCAGCTGTGCCAGGCACGGCTCCGTGAGCAGCGGGTTGGAACACCAGCTTAAACACATTTACGTAAACACAATTGCAATTCAATATATCATGTGTCTCCGACTCCAAGATCAAGTTGGGTGGTTGATGGTCCACTTTGGTGGTCTTTGGATGCCTTTAGGTCCCCCTAGATTGGCCCAGGGAATCCCTGGAGGGCACCTTCTCAGTGAGGCTGGCAGAAGCAAATCACTCCCTTTCAGCCAGGCTACATCAATCTCTTCAATGAGGCCGGCAGTCGCGGGTCGTTCTGCTCGACCGTGGTTGCAGGGTGTTGGAGAACTTGCTCGCAGCTCAAAAGTTGGGTGATTGACTCAAAGCTGTGCCTTTTGGGTTGCTTAGATGGTTGCTTAATGACTTAGTATGATTTCATGATTTGGACACTTAGCCCAACCCCGCAGAACTTGGATGTGTCATCCCCATAAACCGCAAGAAACAGACAGACGGACCCCTTTTTGCAGGCAGCAAACTCAATCAAAAAGAATGCCCGGATGGCCATGACATGCCATGCCATGGCATGACCCAGGACACCCCCCCGCATCCCCCACCCCGCCCGGTTCCCTGCAGGCCCTGCCCGCGCGGGCCCTGGCGGTGGCGACCGATCTCTCGGTGGAGTTGGCGCCCTTCCGCCCCAACGCGGAGCGGCAAATGTGGCGCTTCACCGAGGAAGGCGCCCTGGAACCGTCGCGGAGGGGTCGGGGGTGGGGGGGTGGTTCGGCTTTGGTGGGCCATGAAGGATGAAAAAAACACGCCACTAAAGGAGCGAAACGACGAAATGGATCGTAGAACATATAGGGACTTGAATGGACTTGATCGACCAAACTATTAGACTATCGGCATTCTATTGTGCTTAATTGCTTGAGAATCGGTGATTGATTGCTGTTTGACATCCACCGGGCTTCCAGCGATGTGCCAGTGACTTCTTAGGCTTTCATGTGTGCCGAACCCCTTGGTGTTTCCAGACAGGTGCCTGACATGGCCTTTCTGCGCATTTGTTGCGCACTGCTGTGACATTGGCCAACTACCATCAAGGACCGACTCTTAATTCCTGAGTCGCCACAGGGTCTTGATTGATTGGTTTGCGACAGACCTCATCCACCCTTGATCTTTTAAGGTCAAACCGACTATGAACCCAAGATATATCGCCGAAGCGTTCTGGGCCGCATGTCACTGGGCCGGTGGTCGAACACATCGAACCCTTCACGTGCCGAGGCCATTTGATCCCCAGGTATCGCGCCGCTGGGCAGCGTTTTCTCGGCGTCCAGTCCCCGCGTCGACCGGGGACTGGCTGTTCTGTCTAGAAAGAGCGACCGCGAGCTGCACTAAGTGGAGCAAGGTGAAGGTGGAGACTGTTGTTGAGGCAGTTCTTAGGTCCTAGGTGTTCATTCCAATCACTTTGCGAACCGCACTTTTATTTACGCAGTTGTTGTGCAAACCAACTCAGTTTGCACTGCTTTTCAATGCTGTTCATGTTTTTTTGCCCTTTTTACCGCAACATGTGAGTCAGGATTTGACCAAATCTATGGTCCGCGTCGGCCCGGCCGTCGGCCCCCCTGGCTCCTTTAGTCTGCAAAGGGCTTTCCCGAAAAGCCGACCACAATCGCCAAGAGGTTCCTCAAGTCCAAAGACGCCGTACAAGTCCAAAGACGCCGTACAAGTCCAAAGACGCCACAAAACCATTGTTTTTGTACGACCATCTCCAGTGAGGTCATTGATTTGAAGGGATAGATTTTGTCCATCACCTATTCTGTCACGGGATGTCTAACTCGTCACCTCGTACTCCCAAGGAGTCGCTGGCTCGAGGTGGGGACGGGGACAGGCGTAGCTGGACTGGTGGCAGTCGCAGTGAAAGTCCAAACCCACTAGCTAAGAAGGCAGGAAGACAGAACACCCAAATCCTGCCGTATTCTGGCACATGCTACACTGATCCATTACCGCATATTACATCCAGATTCCATGCTAAGCTGCCCATCCCTCCAAACCACCCAAACCCACCCAAACCGACCCATCAAACCCGAGACACGGTCTCCGCAGGCCTCTCCAGTCGGAACCCCAACCAGGGCTCACGGCTCATCCTGTCCGAGGAGCCGGGCAGGTGGGAAGCGCCGTGCGGAAGCAGATCGACATGGTGGATATGGTAGACTGTTGATGAATATATGTTGATTTATTATTGTTTATTCATCAAACCTCCAAGCTTCAAGCTGTTTTACAATTCAAGTTCGGGGGGTCATCTTCTTCATCTACTTCAGGATGTGACCTTTTGAGGCTCCGAGCCAACCTTCAGAGGCTGACTGTCAACGATCTCATGGCACCCGCAGCCCGTAGTCTTCCCCGGTACCTCCCCAGCAGTCTGGCCCGAACCCGGTTGGTCAACTGGTCGGTCACCCGGTCACTGGTAGCCACGTTGAAGAACCACGTTGAAAGAACCAGGCAAATTGTTCTGACAATATTCCGCACTGGGCAGTGGTGTAGTGAAGGATGTCAATTTGTTCTCGGTCCATGATCTGTTGGTTTGTTATCACTGACCCAGTGACCCGGAGCCGATGACCATCGTTTACCCCGTGGAACCAGTCGGTGAATACACATGTAGATCAATTGATTCTTACAGATCTTACAGGCGGTGTCAATACCAGATCCCTATACATGTTATAATTGTTAATGATACATCTATCATCTATTTGTATACTGTATCTATATCCAATCTCCTGTCTCCACCCGATTCCCAGTCTCCGCCCTCTTTGGCATCATCCGGCCAACCCATCGCCCGATGGAGCTCCTCACCGCTACATCAGCCAGGTGGACCTTGGAGAATGCGGGCGTCTCGGGTGCGGTGCTCATCACTTCGCCCAAGGGCCTGGTGTCGCTCGCCTGGTGACGGTGTTTCCTTTTTCTGAGCGAAGCGGAGTTTTGGGAGGTCCACCAAGTTCAGCGATCTGCGATTTTGCAGGTGTTGCCCACAAAAAGTTAGCAAAGAGCAAAACATAGCAAAACAAAAAGTAATGAGCGTGCAAAAACGATGCATTTGTTGATGTTACATACATGTTTGTTGACTGGTACCATGTTTGCACTCATGAGATTATTCGCTGTGCGCTCCTAAGAAAAGGCAAAACAAATAGCGACGAAAAAACATAAAAAAAAGCGACAACAATGCACTACCTGTTAAATTGTTTTTGTTGTTTGCTTTACCTTTTGTTTGTTTTGCTTTGTTCTGGTTTAAATAGTTTCTTTGCTTCCTTGTTTCTATGGCTGCCGTGCCGGTCTCAAGACTATTTGGCACACCCGCTGCTTTAAGCCACCACCAAGCTGACCTACCAAGCTGTCCACTGGAAACTTGCGGACTATGGGCCTATGGACCCCTTTGGCAGCCGTTTTCCCACTTGAGATCCCAGCTACATTGTTCGACTGCCCTGTCCCACCAGCAAAGCTGTCCAGCCCTGCGACTCTGACGTACGTCACGTGCAGCTCCTCCTATCTTCAGGCCTTCAATTGGTGGACTGTGCGTTCTGATTGACCACCCTTCTGATTGACTTTCGATCCTGATTGACCACCC